CCCCAAAACCCCAAAACCCCAAAACCCCAAAACCCCTTGGTATAAACCTCCTGAAATTTTTGAAAATTTCGATACTTTAATGGAAGATCAAAAGTTTCATAACTTACAAGTTAGACCCAAGTGACATCAGCACTTCCATTGTATGGTGCTTTACCATTAGCTTCTTGTTTTCCTCATTTTTAGCCATCTTCGCTATCAAAACTGCTGCATTTTTCCTTTCCAAATCAACATGATCCTTTAAAATCTGGGTGAGTTGAGGAATTAAATCAGCATATGAAGTAGAGCTTTCTGGGAAAGACTCCAGAGATGCTGAAATGAGGCCTGAATAATTGATAAACTTCTCCCTATTCCATTCATCGATAGTGCCTTTCAAGAATCCATGAGCTTGAGTTGCAAAGTTTTCCACATTTATCTCATATTGATTGGTATAGTCAGATAACTTATCCTTCAATTTAAATAAGGCAAAAAGTATCTTCAAGACATGAGAAATCAAATCTGGGAACTCCTTGTTGAAGTACAGGAACAATCTCACAAGCATGATTTTGGATGAGACTATCTTCAAGATTATCTCTGGCTGTGTCACCAGTCTTGAGAGTAAGTATAGTAACCTAGTAATGATTGTCTTGTGATCCTCTGAGTAGAAAGTAATTTTAGAAATGTCCTCTATCAATTCAAAAACACCAGCTCCGGAAAGGAAGATCTGGGCTTCTGTAGCGAGTGAGCAATTAATCAATACACCAAGTATCCTTTCAATAGAATCAACCCAGTCAAAGTTCTTCTGCTCTTTTTCTATTCTTAGGAGGTCGACCATGTATCCTAAAAATTCTTCATTAGCGAAGAAGTTCCTAAAAGTTCCATCTAAAGCCAGATTTGAAATGAAGCCGCATAAGGTCTGCTTAAGGAGGACCCTATCAGCTATTTTCTTCTTGAAAATCTTCTCCCTCTCGTTAAGTGCTTTTCTCTCCTTCTTCTTCATCTTCTTGGCTTGTAGCTGGTTGATTTCCTGCTTTTCCTGATTGTCTTCTTTCAGTTTCTCTATGACATAAGTCAGCATTTCAAGGATTTGGTTCATTAAGTCTCCAAAGTCCTTCTTGAGAAGCTCCCTAAACCTTGTCATGTGCTTGCCAAAGCACAGGTTTGAGCCGAAGGAGATCAAGGTTCCAAACAATGATATATTCTCATCCACATCTAATGCTTTCAGTACCGATATGAACAAGTCTTTGATTTTCTTCTTCTCAGATAGCTGATTTCTGACGAACTCGTTCAAAGTAGCATCTTCTAGAATTCCAAAGACTTTCTTGACAACCGAAGATTCTAGAGCCTTCTTCTCTGGATTCAAACTTCTGCTATAAAGGTAGTCAATGAGAGCCTCATATCCTTTGGATTTTTGGAACTCTTCCTTAACCTTCTCTTTCTTCTCCAAGATCTTATCTAGCACTTCTATTCCAACAGTGTTGTGCAGAAGAGAGTCTTTCAAACAGATGAGGCCTTTATTCTTGACGAAATAGAGCAATAAGTCATCAGATTTAAGAAGAAGTTCTGTTAGCTTCTTTCCGTCAGCTTCTTCAATTGGATGTACGCAGAAAGAATTCTCCTTTTTGCCCTCTTCAATCTTGATCTCCTCATCTTTGATTCCTCTCAAGTAATCAATTGTGAAATCAATGAAATCTTTATCCGAAAGACCGTCCCTTTGTTCCATGATTGAAGCAATTCTTTCTTCAAGCTCCATATCTTCTTCATTAAGAGTTTTAAGCTTTTCTGCATCAATCTCTCCAGGGCACAATTTAAGACTTTCTTCAATGTCAACTTGGGCTGTTTTATAGTCTCTCTGACCTCTGAAGGCTACAGCTCTCCTGATAAGAGCTTTGTAGCAGAGGCTCTTGCTTCTTTCAAATCCATCTTCGAAAACTTCACAATATTCTAATACTCTAGTGCAGTCATCTATCGCTCCAGTCCATTTCTCAAGCTTGTTCCTGGCAAGAGCTCTATTAGTGTACAATGGTAGGAGATCTTTCTTCAATTCAAGAGCATCGGTATAATCCTTCTCCGCAGTACGATAAAGCCCTTTCTTAAGCCTAGCATTACCTTGCTCTTTCAACTTATTAGCTTCCTTAGTATCTCTAAGTCGCTTCTTCTTCCTATCCATCATATCTGCTTCCATTGCTTTAAAATTAGGATCATGTTCTGGCACTATCGGCTCTTTATCCTCACTATCCGTACTATCTGACTCATATCAATCCCACTAAACATCAACCGCTCTATCCTACCTTCTTATAATTCGTGGAAGTCTTCTTATAAAACATAGCTTGTGTTTTCACCCAATTCTTCCACTTAGCCCTCCTTTCCATCTTCGTTCTCTTCTTCTCCTTGACTTCCTCCAATTTCTCCTTCAAATACTGCATTCTCTCTTCCTTAGTAATAGTCTCATGACTACAGTGCGTACAGTTCTCGATCTCAATATCATATTCTGTGAAGCAGAATGTGCAGAACCGTTTGTACTCCCCTTTATGTCCTTTGCCTTTGCGGCCATCTCTGAGTTTAGCTTCTTCCCGCTCCTTTGCTTCTTTTTCCTTCATGATTGAGACTTTCTCCTGGAGTTCCATCTCTTCATCTATCTGTTCAATAGGGATTGTCCCGTCAATGATGCCTTTGACTTTCTTGTTAAGATCATTCACCTTTTCAAGGAAATCTTCAGCTGCCTCGTTTGATAAATCTGCCATTTTTTGAAATTTAATTTTTTGGAAATTTATGGGGTTTTGGGGTTTTGGGGTTTTGGGGTTTTGGGG